CTAATAGTATTAAGGCTCGCATCTATAATACCCTTTTTCAGTAAAAGATTTTTCGCTCATCGTAATGAACACCCAGGATTCTTCTCAAATATCTTGGTAGCTTTGTCATCCTTTTTCGTCGTTAACTTTTTCGGGTGCCACATTCCGGCAGGTCGTCGACATTTTTTGTTTCGTTGTAACGTTTCACCCACTTCCCGACGAATCTTTCTGACTTTTTCATGTAGCACCTGGCAGCTGCATACGACATTTTCGATCCTTTCGGATGTGTGCAAAGGAACACTGCTACAAAACGATTTGAATACGCAGCATACTCATTGTAGTTATTTGCTCTGTTACAGTCCAAACAAGTCACATTACCCATATAACATCTCAAAGCATTCTTCCGAACTATTCAGAGAATCGGAAAAACCAAACTTAACATCTGTGTATCATCTGTTAACGAAGTGCGGAACCGTACGCTCTTATTGAATAGACTGTATATCATCGTTTGATAATTCCGAACGTTTCGGCTATATATTTCAGCCATCCTTAGCAAACATTTAACGCAAAATCATTGTATCCGACTGGAAGGATATTAAACGTCGTTGTAACTAATTATCCTAAGCAATAACCTACGTTAGTCTCTAATGCTAATTTGGGGTACTGGAGCTATAATAGAAACATATTGGAATATGCGGAGCGAACAAACCTCTAGTGATCGATGGAAAATTTTATCAATCATTCGCGTAACAAGAAATCGTTACTTTTTTAATAACTTTTTTTCAAAAAATGCAGCCCCCTAAATTTTGCTGCCCCTAGATTATAGTCTAGAGTAGGTATAAAAGGACTAGAATTAATGGGTTGTAATTAAAGTTTTAGCGTTCAGGTACCTATTCATAAGTACTAAAACTTATTGCTAAACAAGGAATGGTCATAGCCAATTTCAAGATTAATTTTAACACACTAATGCTCATTTCCACCAATGCAGATTAACTTTAATCTCGGTTCAATTTACTCTTTGTCTATTTCTAGTTATAAAAATTAGAAAAAGGTAAACAGTAAGTTAAACCGAGATTAAAGTTAATCTTTATTGGTGGAAATTAAAGTAAAACATGAAATATTTAACCCTTACGATACCAACTACAATTTGGTGCCTCATCTGTACAAATATGGGTTACTAGAATCCGTTCGTTTTTTCACCTATTCAGAATGATTGAAAAAAATCTCAAAAAATTCACTAACATACTTTCAACTTCCTAGAATAAATATTAAAACTTCATTTTGGAAAATATTAAAATGTAGTATAATTTATAATTACCAAAAGATTAATAGAATGTGAAAAAATGGCATTTGATTTAAAAAATTATAACTTTTCATAATAAATGCATATAAAGAAATAACTCCATGGTTTTGTAGTTTAGATAAAAGTTTTATAAAAAAAAATACTAGAACTTTGAATTCTACAAAAAGTTGAATTATTTGAGCACATAAATATGAGTAATTTTCAACACAGGACAAATAGGAAAAATCGAATTAAAATATGTATTTTTTTATTTCGTTATGCTATTTAATGTAAAAAAACTACTTAATAAAAAATATATATAATGTTAATAACTTTCTTGTAATATAGCGTGTATCGCATCTTCAGCTCTATCAATTTTGTCTAAAAAATAAATATTCTTTTTGAAAAATAATTTTTGTACTGAAAATAAACATTCAGGCATTGATTTAGAGTAAAAATAGAATACATATAATCATTTTAACACAATTTTTATTTTTCAAAAAGCACCTTTTGTATACATACATGGGTCATTAGAGTCTCACACTGACTTGAACCGTACACTAATCATAGACGGATTGACGCTCGGGATCGCCCCGCCGCGCACAGGTTACCCCCACCACAAACTTTTTTTACGGGGAGATAACAAGCGCCAGATTCATCGAGCTTGCGAGAAACTTGCACGAACAGGAATCGTTCAGTCACTAGTGATCCGGAATTGTACTGTAAGGGTTAATTCTAAAATTTTGAGGTTGCTTTTCACGATGATGTCGTTCGAATTTCATTTCGATCATATGGCAATTAAATATGGCGGTCGAAACAAAAAAAATGATGAAAAATAGCCGACTATTTTTCTTTAAAGGTTATTTTCGATAACAATTTTTCTAATTTTCGGTAAGTACATCATCGATAGTCAACATACTTTAAGGTTGAAATCCATCATAGCAGAGCCAAAATGACAGTCAAATTGATAAAAACTAGAAAGGAGGATGCCCACGGTAAGAGTGATTTTGGCCCTGGAACTAGAACCTCCCTAATTGGTAAATTCGTTTAGAGCATGATGAGGGGTAACACCTCATACCAAATTTGGTTCTTTTATCAGGTGGGAAAGTTGAAAAAATCACTGTTGAAGTTTACTGTCTCCCCGATATCTCCTGTTACTACTTACGTTTGAATTCATGTATTTGAGAACATGCATCAGGTAAATATTCGCATAAAATGTAAAACTGAAGCAGAGATACAGTAGTGTGAATAAGTATACACCTGTCAAAGGTCACACACACACACACACACAAACACACACACACACATACGTACAAGCGCGCGCGCACCTATTAATCCGGGGGCAATCATACTTGTGTTCGTGGCCGATTGAGGTTCACGGTTGTACCGAGTCTTATTATACGTATTTTGACCCACTGAATCCGAATATCGAGGGTACTTTTCATTAAAATGGGGCCTACTATTGTTTATAACAATTTTTATAAACAAATTTTTTTTTTCGATTTTCCATTCGTAATAATTTTTTTCGTATTATTTGGGTGATTTTAAGCAAAAATGGTTATTTCACATTTTTGTCTACGACCCATTGGTTGTCCGTAAAAAAATATTAAAGTCAAATAATAATTGAAAAATCGATTTGACTTTAATATTTTTTTACGGACAACCAATGGGTCGTAGACAAAAATGTGAAATAACCATTTTTGCTTAAAATCACCCAAATAATACGAAAAAAATTATTACGAATGGAAAATCGAAAAAAAAAATAATTTGTTTATAAAAATTGTTATAAACAATAGTAGGCCCCATTTTAATGAAAAGTACCCTCGATATTCGGATTCAGCGGGTCAAAATACGTATAATAAGACTCGGTACAACCGTGAACCTCAATCGGCCACGAACACAAGTATGATTGCCCCCGGATTAATAGGTGCGCGCGCGCTTGTACGTATGTGTGTGTGTGTGTGTGTGACCTTTGACAGCTGTATACTTATTCACGCTACTGTATCTCTGCTTCAGTTTTACATTTTATGCGAATATTTACCTGATGCATGTTCTCAAATACATGAATTCAAACGTAAGTAGTAACAGGAGATATCGGGGAGACAGTAAACTTCAACAGTGATTTTTTCAACTTTCCCACCTGATAAAAGAACCAAATTTGGTATGAGGTGTTACCCCTCATCATGCTCTACACGAATTTACCAATTAGGGAGGTTCTAGTTCCAGGGCCAAAATCACTCTTACCGTGGGCATCCTCCTTTGGTGTTTTTTCGTACAATCTTATTACAAATGTGAGTTAGATCCAACTTGTTAAATGTAGTATATAATCGCACATCTATGATTTAGAGGTTTTATATTCACCGCTTTTAAAATGGCGAATCCAATATGGCGGACTATAAACTTGAAAAATCGTTAATTTTTAAATCATGTTTTATTTTGTATACTGTTTGAAACCCTAATTTTCAAATTGTTAGTGTTAGGAATGTGTGAAAATTTGAAATCATTTCAAAGATCCAACATGACAGATCCCACATGGCGATCCAACAACTCCTAAAATTCAATCTTTTTTATTAGTCCAAACTTAAAAAACTAAATATTTAGTAGCGTTCTACGGAAAAATGCATTACCAAAACATTCAAATTTTATCAAAATTGCCAATTATATTTTTGCAAAAGTTGTTTTGGTAAACGGCACAAATGAAGCAAAAAGGAGAATAGAAAACAAAATTACAAATTTTACAAAAAAAACATGATTTTTTAAATTTGGAGTAATAAAAGGAGATTGTGAATTTTAGGAATTATTGGTCACCATGTTTAATCCATCATGTTGGATCTTTGTAATAATTCCTAACAAATTTTCGCATTTCTACATTCTAATAATTTGAAGATTGGGGTTTCAAAAAGAAAAAAAAAGAAAAAATTTTAAGTTTATTACGTTTAACAAGTTGGATATAACTCACATTTGTAATGAGGTTGTACCACAGTATATACAGTAGCGCAACTCTCTGTCGGCACCTTTGATGTTAGTGAAGCCTAAAATGGAGTGCGCATGCGCGGCCGAGGCGCGTAACCAATCAGGGCACTGTATTCTATCTCACTTCTGCTCTCTGTTTATAACCTTTTCTCTCTTTCTAATTTATGTTCTAGCAATGTCCTAACCTAATTTGCACATTTGAACATTTAATACGCGTACTAACAAGTAACTTTTATAAAATTATCTTAATTTATTCCATTATTCACAGCGAATACAGAAATCTATAGTTCTCGTTTACACTATATAGATATTTAATACTCACAGTGAAAAACGAGACGCATTTGAAAGAGAAAATAAAATAAAAATTAAACATATATAATGCACATTTATTTTATAACACTATATTTTGCAATTAAATATACCCACAAAATATATTATTATTAACTAATTGTACAGCAATATTGTATGTATAGCATATATCTTGTGTATACAATATAATATATACGCAATTAGAACAGAAAGTCACAATAAAGTCAAAATGACATTAGAATGATTGAAAAATGACTTTTAATGATCATTTTGGAACAATTTTAACATCATTTTGATACAATGATGACTTGTTTTGTTTGGATATATAATTAATGTGGTATTTCATATTTTGAAATATCATATGGCTCGAATAAAATTACTTATATTTATTATATTTTTTTCATATTGAATATAGTAACCGCAGATATTAGGAAATGCAAGAATATTCTCTCTCATTCTCTCTCTCTCTCTCTCTCTCTCTCTCTCTCTCTCTCTCTCTCATAATTTTGTTGGTACTGCATCCGGATGAAGAATAGCTCTACTCTTGCTTATATTGTACCACTTTTCTTCAAAATGTAAGTGGCACAATCTATAAATGCGATGGGCATATTCTGCTCCACTTGCTTCTAAATCTAATCTTTCACACGCACGTATCCATTGCAACCATCTATATAAATATTATTATATTGGTTATTGTAAATACAAATAAAATATAGATAAAAAAATAATAGATATATATATCTACACATATACATATATATATGTTATATATATGTTATATATATATTTTTGTATATATATATGTTGTATACAGAAATTAAAAAATATTGAATATTCCAAATATATGTTAATATATAGCATAATATACAATAAATTCGTATATGTTTTAGAAAATAAATGAAATAAAAAGTTGTACCTGTCATGTTCCTTTGGAAACCGAAAAAAGTGTCGTTTTTCCACAATATTTTTATTACAGTCCTTTACGACACACCATCCGCTTGATTTTTGAGCACACATTTTTTTCGCCTTTTAAAATCTCTCCAAATATCTGTAACAGAAAGCTAAGATCAAAGTGCTTCAAGAGAATCTGAAATCTGTACTATTTTTGTACAGATAACCTATTCTCCGTAAAGCTAACTCGGTCTACGTTCTCTGTTTTTTTACACTTTCTTAAACACGTCTGAATACACTGAATAATTATTAAAATTAAACACGTATCACTTATCACTTTATCACACGTAGCACTATTCTCACTGTTTCTCACATAAAATTCGTCGCGTTCCCGCCACTTTCCGTCAAATGGTCCTTTAAATGCCTTATATGGACATTTCAATGGGACTGACAGACACCGACAATAGAAAGAAGAAGTGAGATAGAATACAGTGCCCTGATTGGTTACGCGCCTCGGCCGCGCATGCGCACTTCATTTTAGGCTTCACAAAATCAGGAGAGTTGCGCTACTGTATATACTGTGGTTGTACTTTTATCTATTTTATCAACAAGATATGACTTTGCATTACCAAAATCTTAAACATTATAATTTTGTACGTCGAGTTAGTTGGACGGTTATATAAGTTTTATATTTGGAACGACTTGCATTTGCAATGTGTTAACAAAATAATGATTTTGATCGTCACCGAATTTTAATAAATGACTCTTTTAACGACATGGATTACTCGAGGGTGAGTTTTTTGTCAGAGGGACAATTGCTTGTCACATTATTTTATTAATATAACGTTAATTTTGTGTCCTTATTAGTACCACAGGGATACATCACAAACGATCTTCCAATCGCTTGATGAGCTAAATTGTTCTCTCTGTGGAAATACTCAACGTTTTAGAACATAACAATCCATCATAGTATTTTTCTTGTTTTTTCTGCGTTAACTAAAGATGTTTTACTGCGTTAATTAATATTTATATGTACATCTGAGGATGGCTCGAATATGCAGCCGAAACGTTATGGTTTGACTTCTGTTTGCGTGCGCATTTATAGTGTAAATTTTAGTTAATTGTTATTTTATTTTAATTTATAATATATTAAATGTTTTATTAGTTCACACATATAATATTGACTCTTAATTGCCTTTTTATTTCATTGACTATTTTATCAATTTGGCCGTTATTTTGACTCTGCCATGATGGATTTCAAAAATTTTATCGTGGGGTTTTATAAAAACAACTATTTTGACCACTGATGGTGTACAGTCGGGGACTAAAAGGTTGCAACGCTTTTTTATACATGGTTTTCGGAACGCAGTAAAATTGTCAGAATGTGAGCCACTGCTTTCGTAGCGGTTAGGTAGCTGTCAACGTAATGACAGAATCAAAACATAGTGAAGAAGTGCATTCTGTGTGCCGCGAAGGTTAAAAATTCCAAATAGATACCATAAAATTAAGATAAGTATAAAAGAATAAGTTAGTATATCACACAATAATAAATTAGATGGTGCATAATAATATGTTAGATGGTGCATTTCGTAATATAAATTAAAATTAAAAAATTGAATTAAATTAATTAAATTAAAATTTTTTTTCTTCTTTAGTTTGGCTGTGTGAATGAATTACTGTCGCCTCTCAAACAATGCCGAAGAGGATACCGAACCCGAAAATCGCATGTCTAGACTTCTCGTTGCAGAAAGCAAAAATGAAGATGGGCGTTGAAGTATATACTTATTACAGATCCGAAGAAACTCGAAGCCGTTCGTTAACGTGAACCAGATATTACCAAGGAACGTATTCAGAAGATTCTTGCTGCTGGAACTAAGTTGTTCTTTTATCTGGTGGCATTGATGATTTATGCTTAAAAGTATTAGTATAACTATACATTTTAAATGACGAGTTCTAGAATTGAGTGCGATATATTCATCTTGATCTTTCCATAGTATTTCGTGGAGACTAGGACCATGGCAGTACTGCAGATGTAAAAGGCTGATCTGAAAAGAATTGCTAAAGCTATAGGTGCGCAATTTCTAACTTCGCTAACCAACATGGAAGGAGATGAGAGTTTTGATGCCAGTTTCTTACCATTTTCTTGCCAGTTTTCTTGCTAGTTTCTTGCCAGTTCTTGCTACAATTATTCGGCTATCAAATATATGGTGTCAAGAGGATCGATTTTTAAATATGTGTGCTGGCATGTGGAGACACCATTTCAAGTAATTTTGCACAGTAATAAATTCTCTAACATAGTTATTCTCTAACATATTAAAGTTATACATGTGAATATTTTATTTGCGTAGACCGAAACGTTATAAACTATTTGAATTACTTGATTGGTTCCATCAAATACGGATACGCGATCCAGTCGAAGACGAATGCACTTGAAATACGCTCCACTTTTCAAACTTAATGTTATTTTGAACGAATACATATCTCCTGCGTTTAACGACGATGGAATCACGAATGCACTGGGAGTTGAAACCGCATTGTAAAAATGTACAATATGTGGAGAGTATTGGCGAGTTCGATCCTGTTCCGGATCCACTAACAGTTCCAATTCATTAATGCTTTCTAACAATATGTTAGATTATTATAAATATAGAAAATGAAATATGCTGTTACTGTTAACTAATACTTGCTATAAGGAGTATATTGTAAATTAAATATCACAGTCTGAAATATACGTATTGAATTGTTTAAACATTTTTATTCTATCAGTTTTAAGTGAATATGAATTAATTTATTGAATCTTTTATCATATCAGGAGACGCGGTAGCGTCTCCGGCCATGTTCAAAAACTCTGAGACGCTACAAGTCTCTTATCCCGAGCCACCAAAGTCCATTTTTGGGAGGTGCATAACTACTAAAATATAAATAATTTTGAATTGAACGTCATATGTCC